GACGATCCGCCCGGTCGAGCTTTCAATTCGAACAAGGCGACACGGAATTATCACTAGCAATCCCCCGTTCGTGGATACGCATTGTCTCGCGGAACGAAACGTAATGAAATATGGAAATTGGGCCGATCTCCCGAAATATTTCATTTGGCTTCCGAGTTAACGTCGCGTCTTCCGTGGATTTATATCCGACGTTTCGTGAAACATCTCAGTTCGCTTATTCAAAGTGAGAAACGAGCCGAGACTCGGAAGATAAATTAAGTATTTCTCAACATCGCGAAAGCCGAAAAATATCCGATTTCCCGAAATATCGGAAACTCCGAGATCCGGGACGATCTGTTGAAATACAACATTCCTCCTCGAAATATTGGAAGCCTGCAATCGTCTCGAGAAGTCACGATAACAAAATTAGCACGAGACCGGAAACTTAACGGGACAACTCCGGTATTTAATTTGCAGCTTGATGTCTTGCATATCCCACCTATTTGGGATATACGGCGTTTTTAGCATGTGGGATCGATGCCGCAGTACAGACGCTCCGTAAAGAAGCAGGTTTCGTTTATACAGTAAATATTGCATAAAGTCTGTAAGACAGAATATTTATTTACGTTAAACATATATAAATTACTTTTACTATTACTTTTCGTATACTTATTTTTCATACTTCACATCCTAATCAACTTTTTCCCCATATTTCCAGTTACTGTATAATTTTACGTCTTATAAGTATTATTCGTAAATTTTTTATAAGCCGTGTAACCGAAGCAGAGATATAATTGTTCGCTTTTTTCTCTCTCTCAGGATGCAGGATCGCATCTGTTCGGGGGATTGTCTCGCCCTCCGAACTTGCAGTTTTGAATTTTTCAGGACCAATGCACTTTCGTCCACCGATCTCGCGGCGGTCGGAAATCCGCCCGAGCCGGGGTTTGCGTCGGCGGCCGTTTTAATCGGCGCGCGATCAACTCGCGCGCGCGAAACTCCTCGGAATTTACGGCGTTCGCCGTTATAATTTTAGCGCAGTATGCCGGCGGTGCACGGTGGCGAGAGCTAATGGCGAAGTAAGCAATTCGAAGCGAGCCGCAACGCGACGGATGGCATCTGCAATTAGGACCGCCTAATCTCGAGTGCGGCGTACCGCGATTGGATTGCGCGTGTCGAGAGTCGCGCGAGAGTGCGTCATGCGTACATCATACTAGGTGTCTATCGTTAAGTGGAACATCTGTCGTATACTTGTTATGGTGTGAACAAAAACCGGCCCTTCGCACCATTTCGCACGGCAACAGCCGTGTCACGTTCGGAGTTATTGATTATCTATAAAAAAGAGCCACCCTTTCCTAAGGAAAGCTGAAAAGAGGAGCCAATATGCGAATAACCGTTCTTTTTAAATATTTGAAAAGAACATTGCTTCGCACACGTAATTATATATGTAACCATATTAGAGACGAAACTGAAGTATATAACAGACGTCCCACTTAGCTGACAGACACCCTGTATAGCGAACGCTGTACGAGCTGGCCGAGGGAGCTGCTCGTTTTCGCGGTCTTAGCCGCGCAGGCCGTCCTTTGTGTGCACGCGTGCACATCCCGCTCTCGCGCATTCCCGCGCGCGGTTAGCGTGAATTTTTATTCCCACGAAATCTTATTTATATTCCCGCTTCCGTCGCTCGGATGATCCTCGGGAACCTCGACGGGAGCCCGTCTTTCTTCCTTTCTCTCTCTCTCGTACTCCGAAGTTTATTTCGGCACGGGGATTATTCGCGCGAACGCGCGAAAGTAGTCGGCATCGAGTCATCGTCGTCGAGCTGACAGCACGAAAGCTCGAGAGAAAATGCGTTTCCCGGGACGAAAAAGGAGAAAGCTCGGGAGAGGCCCGAAAGGACCACAAAGAGACCGGAGGGAGGGAAAGGGTGGGGGAGAGTGAGAGAGAGGGAAAGAGAGAGAGAGAGAGAGAGAGAGCAAGGAACTGAGGCGGAAGGTTGACGCTTCGTCTTGAAATAGCTTTAAACCGCCACAAGTCAAAAATATATCGTGCGCCGTTTAGTCTAACGCCGGGCGGAACGGAACGCGAAGGGGATCGGACGGTACGGCGAGAGAGCCGGCGACGACGCCGATAAATAATGCGCGTTCCGCATTATGGGCGAATTTTATGGATGATTACAAAGAAATCGTGGGACGAGGGCGCGCTCGTATTTCACGCCCGACGACTCCGAGCTTTCGTGCTTTTACATCGCGATGTTTTGCTACGTTTTCGCGGGACGGTGTACCGCCCGGCCGGTCGCTCTTTCTTCGACGGTGGCCGGAAGGCGGCTGACTTGTTAATGTCGTTGACAAAGAGCACGGTTTCACTCTTTAATAGCCGGTGACGCGCATATGTACAGCAGCACTCGGGAAAATGCAGAAATCTCTGCAGAATTAACGCATCGCCTTCGTTGAAGTCTCGTTTAAAAAATGAAGATGAAACTAATCGCGAGAAAATTGCAGAACCCGAGGGTTGCACCACCCCTTCGGCGGCGCGCACCCTTTCGAAAAGTGGCGAAATCACGGGGGGGGGGGGGGAGAAAAAAATTGGCACAGCTTTGAGGTGGAATATTTTCCGCTGGACTTCCTAACCACCTGCGAATATTTGCACCGTTGGGGAAAATTGTGTCGGAGGAGATCCAAAGTGAATCGGAGCGCTCGATATTCCTGAAATCGTTTCCAACGCGAGCCTCCGCGCGCGAGCACCTGCGTCCCGGCTCCGATTGTCCCTCACCTCTTCCGATCGCGATTTTCACACTCCAAGGTTCCCTTCGATTATTTTTATCCGATTACCTAGGTCTTTCAGAATTTATCGAGGGCGCCACGATAGTTCCAACAGGCCGGGATTCGCAGTCATGCCGAGCGCGGGTTCAAAGACCCGCGATCATAAATACGCGAATTCATTGGGGCGAAATCTAGGAATCACCGCGAGGTAACGTACGGCAGCAGGCTCGCAAATTTTTCCGGGATCACCGGAACACGGGCCGATTCCGAGGAAAGCGTTACGAAAACGAATTCGCGCGAAACCCGAAGTCTTCGGCTACCTTACGCCGCGGGGTATCCTCTTCCCGAGCCGATAATCGACGTCGTACTTCGAAATTCTATTCTTACTCGCACGCGCCAGAAGCACACAGGTCTTCTGAGAATTGTCTTGTTATGCCACATGTATACGCCGCGAAACAATACGAGTGATATAAGAGAGTCAATCTTTGCCGCTAACTGGATCGCGCGCGGAATCTCCAGGAATTCTTCGTTTCTCCGACTGTGTATTAATATTCATTCGATTAATGCCGAGCGTTGTGTAATCTGCAATCGTGCGGGGAGAAAACGCAAAAGACGAGTCGACGAGCCCCTTTTGGCGGCCGGGATCGGCGGAAAAGAAAATGTGTGAAAGAAAAGCGCGAAAACCGACGCAACTGGCGGACGCTACTGGCGACTCGCTTCGTCGGAACAGCGACGCGCGCTGCTTTTTCTAATTAAGCGCGATGAAAACGTAAAATAAACCGCTACGTGGGGCGCGCGTGCGGGTTTGTTGATTCGCGTGGCGTATAGCCGATAGATTTCCGCGGACGAGACGCAGCGGCGATCAGGTGAAGCCCGAGGATGATGGCTTTTCCCGAGCCGTTTTAAAACTGTAATGCGCCGCAACAGCCTTCGCGCGAACGGACACGAGCCACCTCTTCGTCGACGCCGGTCGGCGTAATTTAAACAGGTTGCCGCTCAGGAACGGACGTCATCGTGGCCAGGTTTACCCCGCGGACGATGGTGTTGCAAGTCCGCCGTACGATGAGATCATCGTCTCCGCATTGGCAGCCTTTTCAATTTACACACGCGCGCGCGTGTTTCGCAAGTAAGTGGAAAATCGAGAGCGGCGTGTCGCGGCGCACCGATCGACGCCGTTCGATGCTGGCGACATCGAGAGGGAAAATCCCGATAATATAATCTTCTCAACTGTAACGCGAGATAAGATAAACCTCCGGGCAAGGTGGCGGAGCCAACCCGGCGAGCTGCGCGATCCGTGATTTATCGGGGGCCCGCGCGATAACTTAATTAAATTTCGGCGAATTACAGGACCGACGCGATTACGTAATAGCGGCACGGTGTAATCGGCCCCCGATAACGATCTCTCAGCTGTCACCCTCCTCGGTCGTTTCTTTCATCGGGTTCGTCAAAAAGCGCTCGAGCTCTCGAGATAGCCTCGTTGTGAATACCACAGCGTGGCGAGTTTAGTCCTGAATAAAACAGCGCGCGAACATTATTATAATTATATATTTCCCGCAGCGAGAGTTGAAGTTTTACGACGAGGAGAGATAACAGTTGCTCAAGTTGGGGGGGGGGGNGCAGGGGGTGAGAAGTCGTGTAAAAGATTAACGCCGGCGATCTCCAACGAAGTCCTCGCGCCGTAACTCGTGCCGGTCGACTTCCGGCGCGTTCGGCAGTGTTTTCGAGTTGATAATTAAGTGTTCCCCTCCCCGGCGGGCACGACTTCCGTCCGTCCCGCACCACGTGGCCATCGGAAGAAGCGCGGATAATGTGGAATACCGTTGGTTCTAAGATTCGGGTCACATAAGGATCAGATATTCTGCTTCCCTTCAATCAGAACGCGGATCCGCTTGTCCTCTTGGCCGGTTAATACAAGCAGATTTGATTTCGTCGTGTGGAAACGGGAGCTCGGGTGACTCGTCGGACCTCGCCGCCGAGGTCGGGGTCGTCGAGCGCAATTAAGACACCGGTCGGTGTCGCGGAGGACGGTGCACCCTCGCGGAGGCTGCGATTTCCGGTGATTCCCCGCGTAGACTCGCGCGTTGGGATCGCCGAAAAGCCGGGGCACGCGCGCGCGCTGACTTGGAAGCGCGCCAAAATCCTCGACGTCGACGTCGTCGACGTCGTCGGTGACGACGAGGGTGTGCGAGAGGCTGACGCCGACGCCTGGCGTCGCCGCGTCGCTTCACCCTAGCGGCCGCCGCGACGCCGGACTGCCTTCAGTGTGCCGCGCATCGTCGGACGTGCATCGTGTCGCGCTCGCGTGCGAGCCGATCGAGACATGTGATCCCGAGAGTTCGTTTTGCCGATCGCGAGACGCCGAGAGGGAGAGGACGAGACCAGTAGAAGATGTCGAGGGGAGATCCCGCGGAGATCCGCGTCCACGGCCTAAAGTGGTAAGGATCGATCTCGGTGCGCGCGCGGCGATCATCGATCCCGGAAGATCTTCGGCCCCGCGGAGAAGGCGACTTCGGAGAACGCGTGATCGCCGAGAGATCGCTCGAGAACTCGCTTCTCTCGGCGACGATTATCGCGAATCGTCTCGCCCCAAAGGCCAGAGGTCGCGGGGTATCGAAAAAGGGGGATAATTACGGCCGCAGCGGAGGAGCTGTCGAGAGCGAGACTGACGGCCGAGCGGAGAGAAACACGGCCGAGGGGGAGATCGGAGAGAGATGTTTATATGCTTATCTTTCTCTCTCTCTCTCTCCCTCTCTCTCTCTCTCTCTCTCTCTCTTTCTAGAAGATTTATGCGAAACGCTCTATAATTAGTCGGCGGGAAAAATAAGCCGTCCAAGAGGTGGAGGTGAGCGGAGTGATCACCGCGCGGAAGAAAAACCGATGCTACGACTTTGAAATTCTCGAAGGGCGCGAGGGGGTGTCTCTGTGTACCCTTAACCCTTCCGTGGTGAGTTGGAGAATACCGTGGGATGATTGAGCGAGCTGGCACGGTTGTTCGTGCGATAAATGTATTTCGATTGTTTGCCGCGTATTAAAGAAAAATTCGTCTTTCAGAAAAGTCGGGAAACGACCTGTGTAATTATTGAGGAATAAAATATTGATGAGAACGGTAGAATTATTCAGGCAATTATCATAGCAGCGCGATTAGCGCGATAATTACACGCAGAGATAAATACTAGATTCAAATAAATAACGTCTTCGATATTTCTTGGCGAATTTTCACTCGGATTAATTAAATTTCACTTGGACAACACTTACTTTTGGAAGATATTTTACCCGAGGTAAAATGTTTTCAGACGGGTAAAAATTTGTTAAGGAATATTGGAGTAGTTATTTATAATTGAATCTAGTATTTTTCTTCTATGCAAAGTTACTTTTATCACACGCTTAAAAATCGCGCGACGTTTGGCTGTCCTAATACAGTCGGAAATTGTACAAAATTGTACAAAATTCTTTTTTACAAAGCACAAAAATGACGTTTATTTTCAAATATATAAATGTAGTTTCGTAAATTTATTTTATGAAATTCATTTATTAAAAGTACAAAGTTTATTGAAAATTTTGCTATACACGAATATATTGCGGCATGCTCGCGGCGTTCGCGCAGCTTCACGATGTTCTCAGAAACTGAGAGTGGCATTAGCTCCAAAATAAATGGCTTATTCATTGTGCAGAAGCGAGCTCTATTATTTGGAAGTAAAGAAACGGCTAAAAATACTTTAGACGAAAGCAGTTAAACTCCGCCACGGAAGTGTTAATAGAAAGCAGGTCACCAATTATAGAGCGATATTTTGGGTGACGCCGAGGCATAATTCGCCGGCGCGGGATTATTTCGGCTCCCGCGTCCGAATTAGATCGAAATACACGACGATTAAAAAAAATTACAGGACTGAATAGAATCGGACTGAAAGCGCCGGGCAATCTAATTAACGATTCACGACGCTCTTCATAAATAATTATATAATATACACTGCTATATAATATACACAGAGAGAGAGAGAGAGAGAATGAGAAGTACATAATTATCACAGGCAATCGAAAAGACTCGCACGAAAAGTATCGCACGAAAAAGCACGATGAAAAAGCTCGGGAGAACTTACTTCGTTATCCGCTGTGCGTGGTGATTCATTCGTCTTCACTCACCCGAATCATCGCCGTCGTCTCCCACGAGTGAGACAAAACGTCGGAAAGTTATTCAACATGTTGCGACCAGCGTGCCCTTTCGTACGAACCGAATAATAATCCTCAGACATCCCCTATTCTATTCTTACAAACGACGGAGATATTTCGGGGCCGCAGAGACAAATGGGCCGTCCTGTATTCGGGAAATAACCGCTCGGATTATTTACGTTGTTTTCCCATGGTTGTTTATGCTGCAAACGCTGTTAGATTATTTATGCCGTTTATTTAGAGCGGCCGCCGAACGAAATGGCATAACCGGGCCGATTATTGCATTAGCTTTCTCGTGACGTAAATCCCGGCGGTTTATTTCGGCAATAGGGCAGCGGTTAAGGCAACAATAAAATAAAGACGGGTGAGATCATCGGGTCTTTATGAGGGTGAGAACGAAGTCTCGGAGACGTAACACTTTACGACAGCGCAGCTTCCGCTTTACAACGTACGCGAGTTACGTTACACGGATACAAGACTGCACGAGGTATCATCGCCTTAACGTACAATATCGATAAGGGGCTCGTAAAACCTGCTCTCTCTCTCTCTCTCTCTCTTTCCCGGTAAGAAGAGGCAAAGGTTGGAGCTTCTCCACTTAATCCCGCAATCTGCCTATAAACGCGTCCTTGCGTGCATATATTATTCCACACAGAGGAGACACCTCGTGAGGGGTGTACTTTAAATAGAGTCTTTTACAACATCACGCACGTACTCGTTGGAGATATTTCTTTATCATTTTTATTTTGTGCTTTGTGCGGACGAGAGCGTCGCGGCACTTGCGTCGCCGTAGTGCGTCGTCGTCGTCGTCGTGGTCGTCGTTGTTGCCATCGCGATAATGGCATACGTAAAATACGCTCCGCGTGAAATTTTCACACATCCCCTCCGTAATTTACATCGTCCCTTCGTCCAGTTCGCAAAAAACGCGAGCTTTTTCGAATAAATAATAAAGCAGGTGAATCACGACGGAGTGAAAACGTTGGATCGATCCATGTTCAATGTTTCCCTGGTTTTCCCTGGTTTCTCATGGAGATACGCGCTAAATTGTTACATGCGACAGTGAGCTATATCGACAGGAGAGCGACTGAGTGAGAGAGAGAGAGAGAGAGAGAGAGCGAAAGAAAGAGAGAGGAAAAGAAGGAATACGTCAGTAAGACGGGGCAGTGTTGTCTCACAGGTTGAGTTTACGCTCGTCGATATTCGATTATAGCTGGTGAAACGTCTTCGCTTATAACCGGTATCTCTTCCCGATGTATCGCGTCTAGCCAACTTCGACAGCTTCGACAGCCCACGCGGTGTGCCTTTCGACTACGTCGAGTTTACGTCGAGCAACTTCGTATGCTGCCAGCTACAGGGATTCGACATTGTCATCGATCTCTGCCCCGCTTAATCGGGAGTAGGCGAGGCGCGTTTCCGATCGCTCAGACTTCGCGAAATCGGCCTCGTCTCGGCCAGATAATTGACCGAGTTAGCGCGCATTTAACCCTTTCGTTACTACTGTGGAGAACACAATGTGTCTCAGAGATACATTCAGAATCTAACGCTGCTGTTACATCGATTAATCCTTTGTCGAGTAGCTTCCTCTCTGAAGACACTTTTCTCGCTGCAGCTTTTTCTTTATTTTTCTATATTCTGTAATTGATTTGTGTCACGTATTTGGTAATCGTTATGTTCTTCAGGCTCGCGCGAATAATACAAATATGTAATTATTTTGCACCAACTATGAGTTGTAAACAAAAGATCAGTCAAAATTTGCACTTTTTTTACAAAAAAATATTTACCAAACCTACTTTAAAAATCTCTATATTAATATTTTCGAGGTCTGATTTCAAATGAATTATTACTGACATTGCTCGAACAACAGTGAGTTATAATTTTTATTAATTAGTGAATGAAATAAATAAACGAAGGAGTAAAATTTTACAGGTTGCTATTAAAAGCTCCGAAATACTCTCAATTGTTAAAACATATTCGAGTGTAAAAGGGTTAACGTGCGCACATATCTTCTGGAGAAAAGGCCGAGAGCGACATTCGAATTATTCAACGCTTCCGATTTATAAGTAAATTTGTTTCGTTAATGTATCGTTTTATCGGAGAACGCATTCGTGCGAGACGAGATTCGCTTCTTTCATCCGCGAGATTTCTCGTAATACGTACGACCTAAATTTTAATGATATTTGCAGAGGATTTACTTTTAAGAGCGTTAATGGTCTCTGTGCTGAAAACGATTGGAAATGAAAGGCTTTTCGCGAATTAAACTCCTGCGCTGTTATTACATAGCGTTAAATAATAAAAATCTCGCGTATTTGTTATTTAAATTATATAATTATACATAATACAGAGACTGTATATATTTTTTTATTTCAAATCAAGATATTTAAGCTTTGATCACATAAAGGGGATGCGAAAAAATATTCCCGACATATTATTTCGGTTAATTGTACGGTCGGCGCAAATGTAAAATAATTTTAGAACAGCTCGAAATAATGCCCCATAAATGATCGCATTGCGCAAGAGGGATCACAACGCGAGTCCATTATCTGTGAAATATCGCTTCGTATCTCGTATCGCAAGCAATAAACACACAGATCTGGTTTAGAGAGATCGCACGACATTTCCATATGTATACCTTTAAAGTTACGTTCGTGCGACGCGCGCGGAACAATCGAGGCGTTATTCAACGGGATGGGGTTAATTAGCACGCGAGTTCACCTGCCGACAGGCGGAGGTGGAGAATGAGAGGAAGAGAGTCAACCACGATATGTCGGAGAAGAGAAAATAAAAGCAAAGAAAAAAGGAGAGAAAGAGAGAGAGAGAGAAAAAGAAAGAGAAACTGACAGAGTCGTCGACGGTTTCACCGATTTAGGGGAGACGCAATTCGCCGCGGCCGTAATTACCCCGACAGCCGTTCGACGCCACGCGCGCGGAAAAAAGGAGAAAAAAAGGGGGGGAAGAGAGAGAGGGGATCAAACTTCCTGTGTTTTATTTGTAGAATCGGAGGAGGAGGAGGAAACGCGAGATTTCTTCCGGGGCGAGGCAGGACACATCGACGTGAGTGACGACGTTCTCACGTGTATCCTTCGACGGACAGGACGCGCAGCGTGGCGGCTCCGGCAAGTGTCGAGTTTCACGGTACCGGAAACTTCCTGCGGAGAGACATTCCGGAAATCACGCGCGAGGGAGTTTCGCGAAAGGGAAAAAAAGCGTACTCGGCGGGACGGTGAGAGAACTCTCGCGAGTGAGGCTCTCTCGTGAAACGCGGAAACGTCGCGCCCGGCTGTGTGTGGACTGCGAGGCGGAAACACGCCGAACAATAACACGTCGGGGGAGCGTCGCGTTTGTGATCGATAAGTGAAGTACGGAACGGAAAACTCTCCATTACACCGCGGAGATCCAGAGGGAGGGTAAGCGGAGAAAGAAGAGGTCGCTCGGTCGGTTGACTTTTCTTCCGGGACAAGCCAGAAGAAGAAAAGAAGCGGACGATATCGTCGAGATAAGGCGGCGAGCCTTCGGGGAAGTCGGAGAGAGAGAGAGAGAGAGAGAGAGAAAAAGAGAGGAGAAATAGCGGATAACTCGGAGGAATGGCGGACGACTCGCTTCGCCGGAAGACCAGATCGGCATCGATTTGCGCCCCGGGATTTTCCAGCATGGAGCAAATGTTGGAGGCAATGCCACCCTCGGGAGCACGCGAGAGGGAAGGTCGGGGCGAGCGGGACAGCGGTAGCGGGACACCGGACAGCAGCACACCCACGAGAAGACGAAGGCCGGCCACGAGATCCCAGAGCGCTCGTGTCTCCGGCGGAAATAAAAGCATCCGTCGCCGTGCCGCCGCCCAAGGTAACATAGCGATGCTAGGAATCGCCTAAGCGGAATCCCGCTGTTTAATTAAGAATTTCATCAAGGGCTCGTAGTTTGCGAGACCGACCGGTAGACCCGAAGATCCGAGGACTCGGGGATTCGGTTAAGGCCGCTGAACGCGGACAAGATTTTCATCGTAAAACAGTCGGCTAATCTAGCGATCACGGTCAACTATTCTCTTCAAGACCTCGGATTAATCAGCCGTGCAGGAAATTGCTATCAACTGTGAAAGAAATCAGTATTAGTTCAACTCGTATTCTCGCGTAATCTGGAATTGATGCGAATTTGCCGTGTGGTCGGTCGATTTGCTTTATAATTCGTTTCTTGTTGCCGAATTTCCAAGGAGGGTGGGAGCGATTCTAAGTATTTAGGTAGGCGCGCTCGAAATATTCGCCGGGCGATTCGATATTCGTAGTCCACTTTTTACTCGAGGACGCCTTCGCTCGGGGATCCACAGCCCTCCTAACCGAGAGGGATCTACGCGCTCGAACGATCGTTTCGCGTGTTCGGTTCTTTTCGACGGTCAAGACACGAACATTGCGAGATAGAATCTGCGGCGAAGGGTCTGGTTTTACGCGGCGGGATTGCGTGAATCGCGCACGGGCGTGACTTCGTCGGAGCCCGATAAATTCAACGGTGGAAACGTCAACGGTGATCCTGGCGGAAGAGCAAAGCGTACACCCGCGGTATACGATATTGCACCGGCGAGGCGCGCTTCGGTCTCGCGGGAGTTCTTGAAATCATTGCGACTGCTATTCTCGTTCTTCGTGGGTTTGACTAGTAGGTCACTGACAGCCCAAACGCGTCCCGCCGTCGCGTTCGCGCGAAGTTTAGAAATCAGCCACGTTTAATAAATGCTCTCCCGCGTACACCGCCGGAACACGTCGTAACGGAAATGTGTATTAACGAGGAACGGGAATATTTCGGCTCGAAATTCGTGTTATTTATACGTACAGACGTAATGCGCCAGCAAACCTGTCTTGGGTGAGGAATAAACAGTCGGAGAATTTTGATGTGTGTGTGTGTGTGTGTGTGTGTATATTCGGTGTTGTAGGAGTGTGTAGGTGTTAATTAATAGGTCGATTCATCGTTCGATTGCAGGCAGAGCGATATCACATCCTCGAATATTTAACGGTCAATTCCTCTTTGAATAATAAAATCTCTCGACGCGCGTAATATTAAAAAAAAATAAATAAATCACCTACGCACCGAGGTACATCCGGAAAATAATTCCGGGAAATGATCACAAAGGGTTGTTAACAGCGTTTTGTCGTCTTCGCGATAAAACGTATCGCGAAATTTCAGCGAGCGCGTTTTTCCCGATCAGCTGTTCGTGCCGCGCTTTAATCCTATATGTGCGCTAGATATTTTTAATTTGCATACATTATTATATTTATTCTACAAAATTTCACTAGTCGTGTGATATGATACTCCCTGTAATTATGAATAATTTATCGCGAATAATATATCTCATCTTTCTTTCCCGTTTCGATCCCGAAGGATTTCATCGGTACGACACACGTCGACACGGAGGATATTCGGTTTCTCTCGAACGACGGAATCATTCATTCCTTCGGTCAATTTCCGCGACCGAAGCGAAGCAAACATTTCGCAGACTTCCCGCGCTATCCTGTCCTATTCTTCCCCGCCTCCTTTAATTTCGTTCCTCGCGACTCTCGAGAAAACCGTGTTATATATCACCCGGCCTTCCACGCGCGCCGGCTTCGCGATGTAATAGGTGCGCTACCTTTGGAAAATGCACCGTTCTTTGCTCTTCCTCCCGAGCGTTTTCCCGGGAAACCCGATTGGCGCGCGGTCGAAATAGAACACATTCATTCCGTCCTATTCATCGTCCCCGTGGTCTTCTCTTTTTTTCTTTTCAACCAGCTTTTTCAGCCGCTCAAACATCCGGAGTTCTTTCGATCACTAAATCCGCGTACTCTCGCGATTTCGCGAACATATCGAAAGTACATTCGCGAAAATGAAATCCCCTTAATGCGAAGTTGAAGGCGAACGCACGTCGAACACGAACGGTCGTTTCTTATTTCCGCCGGGAGAGCTGAGCGGAAGATTTAAGAACAGAGTCGAGCAGAGGACGCTCGAACACCGGTGGCCGCGCTAATGAGATTAAATGCGGAGTTCATCGAGAGCTCGCTGGGGCAGCGGCCTCGCGAATCGCTCACGAATTCAACATTCAGCCCCGAAGAAGTTTTCGCGACAAGAGACCCCTCATTAGCAATCGGACTTCTATACTCATCACACGGCGCTACGGATTTAACGGATCATTTAATTGGCGAGGGCCGACGTAAAGGGTCGCACGCACGCACCCGCAGCGTGTCCGTGTGGATTCGCATGAATATACATGAATCCCACCGTCCACGTGTGCGCGACACACACACACACACGCGCGCGCGTGCTATCATTATCATGATTTACCGAAGGCGAGAATCAGTCATCGATATCGAGCGCAAACGTTAAACGGTAATTCCGCCACTTGTATGTATGTATGTGTGTGTATCGGTTTCAGCCGCCGCCCATCATCATCATCATCATCACGAGGGCTCCATGAAGTCGGCCCATTGCAGCAGCGAGCCCAGACTGACCGAGAATGACGTCAGTCCGGGCATCAGGAGAAGAGGGAGCCGCAGGGGGCAGAGTATGCATCACGCGCATCAGAGGAAGAGCAACGCCTTCCTGGACGTGCCCGACGCCTCGTCGCAGATGCCGCCGCGGGAGGAAGGCGAGGACGAAGATAGTTACAGACTACGTAGCTTCAGTCTCACCAGCAAAGGTCAGAAATAACTCTCTTTTCTCTCTCTGTTCTCGAAGCCGCGCGAGTCAGCACCGTGGTGAGTCGGGGATTCGCCGACATCCCCGGCCGATACTCTCGGTCACCGGAGTCGTTGGGTGAATCGGATAAAACTTCCTCGACGGCCTCTCAACTCGATTCTTAACGCGATTTGGCAGGGAAGCCCGGGTCGAATTGGTCCAAGAGTCGCGTCGACCACGCGTTTCTCTTATTTATTTATTTTTATTACGAGAAGAACAATGGCAAGAGAATCACAAAAAGTTCCCCCTAAGATAGAGACGCATTTTTATCGAATTTGTAGGACCTTACTTTTCCTATAAATCCTTGAAAAAGCACTCGTGTTCTAAAAGGATAATATCTCCGTGATTTCTTTTCACTCTTCTCGTGTAATAAAAAGAGATGAAATTAAATTAGATCCCCAGGAATTTTCTATGCGAAAAATGTCCCCTCACGACACATGGTCGCGTAGAAATTGAAACCTTATTATTATTTGGTGAATTTTATCGGAAGCGCGATGTAATTCCGTGCGGGCAACTTTCGGTGAAACTTATAATGAGCGGATATCTTCGAAATAGCTTATTTTCCTCGGGTTTAACTCGAAGCTTCGGCATGATTGAATTTGAGATCGGGCCATCATTTCTTCGCACAGATGATGCCTTGGATTAACTTCCCCGTTGAAAATTTCCACATGGATTGTTACTTAGAACCTGGGATTTCGGCGCAAATCGCCAGAGGGCATCGCCGTGGGATCGATCGAATTCCATACGGATTTCCCATGGCTTCCTACTTGGTTTTCTTCTCTTTTCAACAGGACTGAAATTTCGAATTCCCGGGACACAACTGACGGACGGCTAGGATTGTTGTTCCGGCGGTCGCGTTTTCGGAGATTCGCGGATATTCTCAGAGGTGGTCTTCTCCGAGAGTCTCGGGCTTCTTAATATTCGAGTAGGCGGCTTTTACGACGACTCGACTCGGTCGCGAGTCTATGGAGTCCCGGGTCTTCCGTTTGATCTACGCGCCGCCACTTGGCACTCTTGGAGCGTATTTTCGGCTAATGGATTGCACTATAATGTTGCGAGTTCATCACGGCTTGTTAAGTGAGTTATCCTTAAACGCTTGCCGCCGTGTTCTCGCATCATTATCGGGCCCTACACCGCCCCCGTGGCTCCTGCGCGAGAACATTTCACAAACCATTGACGTTTCGCGCTTGATACGCGCGACGTGAGAAAAAGTTTTTCCGAGTGCGCTCTCGCACAGAGAGCGCTTCTGCGCGGCGCACCGCGGCGCGAATTATTGACAGCTCCCGGCATTGTGCAAACATTCTCGCTTTACCTCGAAAGTATCGGCAACTATGTGGGCGAGGCAACTGTTGAATTTCTCGATAGTTTCCCAACGGTATACAATTTCGGGTAAATCGGCCGGGCAGTTTGCACTGAATTTCTCGCGGTTTGCGCAACTCGTTAACAATCAAGGCAGTGTGTGTGTGTGTGTGTGTTTCTTATTACAAACTACGATTCGACCAGATGAAATCTATTTGCATTTTATTCGGTAATAATAATGTAATAGAAAGTTTACGTTGAATGGTGATCGAAAGAAAACGTGCCGATCATTATTGTATAGCTCGCGGAAATGGTTATTATGAGTATTATTATGAGTATTACGGTAACTCCGGCGAGGATTTATGCCGCAGAAGTCAGAAAAAAAATGGAAAAAGTCGGAGTAATTTATTCGAAATCACTCTGTTCTATGCCTTTACGTTATGTTAATATTGTGTTATGGTTACAATTTTTCCGTTGTTAATATTAACGAAACTCTCGTGAATTGAATCGATTTCTCAATGCAGTAAGTCGTGCATATTATGTATATTACGACGCGCTTAAAAAGATCACTGTAGAGAATATAAAAGAAACTTAATGATTGTTTTACGACGCGCATGTTTCCGCTGAAATTTCTAACGCGAGATGCCTGGGAAATTGTACGTTTTCGCGGGACCACTTTGGAACTTTCGCATAATTGAAATTAGGATGAAGCCATCATCTCATCGCATAGTTTCCAAACTCCTAACGTTAACCAAGCCTCTAAGCTCAAATTTTAAGCTCTTTGATCCTCTCTGATGATGCAAGGTTCGCAGAAAATGCAAAGATTCTCTGACTGATGGTAGCGCGAAGCCACGTGTACTATTTTTTTCGGCGGAGATCAATGCGATTCGCAACTACATGCACTACAGACAGACGCAAAATGACGCTTTGTGCGCGTTCAAATTTCGTACTCGCCATTGCGCGTCGAAATCAATGTGCTATTTTTAATTTCTATCAATTTTACTTGATGAATACTAAATTCATGAGTGGCCATCTTGATGCGCCATTGAAAATCGGTAGTAATGGGCAATACATTCTTAACGCTCTCAGCGTTTTCGGACGGTCGTATCTCGACGGTCAATCGGCGAGTAGTTCCGTCCCATCGGAAGCAAAATCCGCGAATTCGTTCAGCGGAAGACGAAATTGAAACTCTCTGGCCAATTCGTTTTTGACGAATATCCATTTCGAGAGCGGCAAGATAAATCTCCCCGGCACACTTCGGGGAGCACGCTCTCGCGATGCGAGAAATCCCGGGCGCACTTCGTTCGGCAGCGCGCACTCGAGGCTCGCGGATTGAGCGGGGAAAAAAAGGAAGAAGGCGAGAAAAAAATCGCGATGACCGGAAAGAAGAATCGTGGGAACCTCCGTCGATCGTGCCGGAGAAAATAATCGTGCGGTGGCGTGAGATTCTCAACGCACGACGACGGTCGGAACCGCTCGTCTTGAAGACTCGCTCTTCTCGAAACGCAGCTCCGCCGGAGCTCTTTTTCCTTCCACGAAGTTCAATATTTTTGTCTTCAGGTCTCAAGGCGAACCGCCCGTCGCGCAATTAATCGCCGTGATCGCGGGCTCTTCCGCGGAGCCGCGGACAATCTCTCGGGCGCGGGAGGCGCGCGGAAGCGAAAATAAATTTGATCGAAGTACCGCGCGAGACGCCGTTTTCTTCGCAGTTCGCTCTCTCTCTTTCTCGCGCGCGCGCGCGTGTCCGTCGTGCGTGCGCGTATGCGTGTGTGTACTTTGCGAGAAGTCGGGCCAGAAATACACGGGCGGGAGAAAGGGAGAGCGAAATCGAAAACAGGGAGGAGGAGGAAGAAGAAGAACGGGCCGAACGAAGTCGAGATAAGAGCGAAAATAGAGCGGCCGCCGCGTCGTGACGTCGACGCGGCTCTACGAGTCTCGGGAACCCGAAGAGCTCGGCGAGCCAACGAACGCGCGTTACGAGCCGTCGTCCGCTTCGTTCGTCTGGCTCCGCCGTTCATTTGACAGCGATTTCATGTGAATAGAGAGAGGACGGATGCGCGGGAATCTCCAATCGCTACACAGCGCCGGTTCGAGCGACTCGACCTGGTTACACGTTCCGGAAAAATCGATCGTCGATTTAACGAGCGTCTCTAACGAATTTTACCTCGGGCTGACTCGGCGTCGTCGTCGTCGTCGTCGCGTTGCCGTAATAAAGCGATATCGTAATTAAGCGTCGATTAAACGCGAATTATTCAGATACCCCGTGAAAATATCGTCGAACCAATGGCGGCCTCGCGACACGCTTCTTCCCGGAGATGGAAATTTCCTTGATTATTTTGCCTTACCCATGAATTCCCAGTCGACACTTCAGCCGTGTGTTGATCTTTGATTCAACATACCGGGAAATATCACTTTCTAAAGTCTTTCAGATAACGTTATCGAATCGGAGCACTCTGTGCATCTCTGTATGCTTCTAATATCCGAAACCCACCACCTACTATATCCGCCCGCGTTTCTATACTGTGCTTACGCGTTTCCACCCTCGATGCTCTCTCTCTCTCCCTCTCTTCAGTTGCTCCTGGGACATAAAATGAAGTACGTTGCACGAAGTTAGCGTTTGAATCAGCACGTTGAAGCGACGTCGAGTCCCGTCGGCCGGATCGAATTGCCCGCTCGCCCGCTTGTTAATCCCCCCCCCCCCCCNCCAGTTACCGTTTAAGCGCGAAGAGTGTGTCTTCCGGGCGAAGACGGTGATCCAAGACGATCCGCGGCTCGAGGTCGTCGATTAACCCGTGGGGCACGAACGCGCCCACGAAATTCGATAAGTCTCACAGTGATACCGCGGGATTGATTCCGTCGAGTCCGGGATGCCATAAACCGGTCTCGGATACGTGAGGGGAAGGTGCATACACAAAGCACGTGCGGTGTGGATGACGCCGTTGGGCCGGACACGTACACGGCAGCCGCTTTGTGTGTGTCTTCCCCTCATGCGCTTGAGGCCGGCTTATGGCATCCCTGGTCCGCGTTACTCTCTCCTTGTAAATGGGCATAGTTCGATAGGGATCGCCATATAATCCGAGCTGCAATCGCGGCGCAATGCGTTAATGAGTCCGTCCGTCTGGCCCGTAATTGGACGCGGAGTTCCGTTAAACTGCGTCAGTATATTCGAGAAGCCCTCTCTCTCTCTCTCTCTCTCTGTCTCTGTCTCTCTGTCTGGCTTTTCTCTCCCCTGCTTTCTCCCCTCCTCTACTCGTCCTCCACGCGCGACTCCTGCCATTGTATTGACAAATTGCTAATTAATTAATTATTAAATCGCCCGTTCGGCCGCTCGCTCGCACGCCGCAAAATGTACAGATCGATTCCTCGCCGATAAACCCTTTGTGAAATCGTGTCACGTTTGCGCCCTCTAATTATAAACTGCGCACCCTCCGCCTTGGTGACGATTAAACTTCTGAATATATGTGATACGTACTCTCGTTAAAGGTCAATCGCGTGAGTTTCCCCCGCGTTCTCCTACGGGATGCGCGTTTCTTTTTTTGTTCGCATGAGGAAGAAGAGGAGGTGGAGGAGAGTTTCAGTATTCACGGGAGACAACAGGCCGCTCCTCCTACGGCTTGACGAATGCTAATTGAGCCGGTTTAATTGAGTCTCCGGTTCTCGACA